GTCTTTTCATATTTTACTATAGAGCAATGTTCTTTGCTTAACGAACATTGAAAGAACGTGAAAGAACACAGGGAGATCATTAATGCGATACTCCTAATATCTGGGCGTTAATTGACTCATATGTATGCTAACATCTCTGCATTAAACAGGCTATTCTGACCATCAGTCTGTAGTCCTCTGTCTCTTGCCCCTCTGCTTGGGGAGGCCGGGGAGGCACCCAACCCAGACACCCAACGCATGAGTCACATACTCCACATTTTGAACTCACACTAGCTTCCATGCAATTCTGGCTAACTTTATGTCAACCAATAAGGATTTTGAAAGTCTCTCTCTAAGTTCCTGTGAGCTATAGCATGAAATCTTCCCCAAATCCCAGTCTCGTTTTTCTTTTGTGTTATTTTGAACTACCCAGTGAGTGGCCATTTGTTCCCCTGTAAACCCATGTAGCTGTACCTGGAAGTCCTTTTTCACCATCCAATCCTGGCAATCCTGGGGAGCCAGGGGGGCCTGGGACGCAAGGACACTGTGTACACGGCAGGCCTGGTTCCCCTGCAGAGACAGCACACGTGTTACTCACTGTCCTCAGAAAGAACAGGTGCTTTTATTATTTATTTATTTATTTATTTTTAATTTTTATTAGTGAGCCATCATGAGGTACAGTTGTAGACTTACAAATTTTTGTGCTTGGGTTTCAATTATACAATGATCAAGACTGGTTAAAGAAACTTTGGTACATTTACACAATGGAGTACTATGTAGCTGTTAGAAAAGAGGAAGTCACGAAATTTACATACAAGTGGTACTACATGGAAAGTATCATGTTAAGCGAAATGACTCAGAAAGAAAGGATAGACATAGAAAGATTGCATTCATCTGGGGAACATAAAGTAACACAATAGGAGACTAACACCCAAGAATGGCCGAGATTAGTACCAGGAATTTTATTTTATTTTTAATTTTTGGTCACAACTGGCTGTGGTCTGAGCTTACTTCCGGCTCTGTGCTCACAGATCACTCCTGGTGGTGCTTGGGGGGATGAGATACAGTGACAGTGATTGAATCAAGGTTGGCCGGCTGTGGGCAAGGCAAGTGCCTTAGCCCTGATACTAAGGCACTTTGCAAACACAATCACTTATTATGTCAAATTCTTTTTTCATGTAGCAAAAGTCATCATTGCATTAAATACACGAATAAATCATTCGCTGATTATATCTGTTTACTTTATTTGTCTGAGCTTCTTAGTGTTCTTAGAGAGAAGAATCCCAAGAAATTACCAAACATCCACTAATCTGGTGTCTCTCTTCTTGAGTGCAAAAATAAAACCCACTTTTTTTAGGGATATCCAGTGATTTCTTGCATAGATATTAAATAGGGATTGATTAACAAATAAATGAAAATTTCAAGTGAGTTCTTTGGTGGAAAAGCTATACTTGGTTGACCATTGTATGAAGTCATTGTCTCAGTGGGAAAAATCAGAACTACTGCTGCAGATGATGGTGATTTATGTAAGTAGTGGCATAGCACAATTGATGCAACTAACCTTTGGGTCCCTTCAATCCTGGGGTTCCAGGAGCTCCTATATGGCCAGGATATCCCTGCTCTCCAGGTGGGCCTTCACAAAAAACAACATCACCTGCAAAAAACACCACAAAATAAGTGCATTAACTGTCCTTTGAAATTCACCTGTGTTTTAACAATAGGTATTGTCTTTTTATGCATTGCCCCATCTTTGTTTTGGAAATTGAGCCAGAGGGAGGTGAAAAGGTTGATGTATGCTAACCATTTCTTCCTTATGCTAATTTTTTACACTGGCCCATTATTATACACTTTATTAAAAGAAAAAATGAGATTACATTGTTTGTAATATCATTAACTATGGTTTCTCATGCACGTAATTCCAGCATCACATCCATCACTAGAGTACCCAATTCCCTACCCCAGGAACCCCAATATCCCACTCCACCCTCAGTTCCAAATTCAATTCTGTGTGTTAGTTCTCCTATTTTGTTGTCTTTGGACCTTTGGTGCTATCTTGCTGTGTATCTTCAGGTCCTACATTATTTTCTGACTGATTTCACTCAGTGGGATATCCTCTAGTTCCATGTGTTTTGCTCAAATTGCTTGATTTTGTTCTTCCTTAAAGCTGCATAATATTGCATTGTGTGTATATACCACAACTTCTTAATCCATTCATCCATATTTGGATATTTGGGTTGTTTTCATATCTTGGCTATTGTACTGTGTGGCAATCAACACAGGTGTGCATATATTCTTTTTTGAATGAATATTTTGTGTTTTGGCATAGATGCCAAGAACTGGTATTTAGTAATACTCATGAGGAGTCCTATGGTAGTTCTATTCCTGTTTTTTAGATAGATCTCCATATTTCTGAAAGCTCATTATTTTTTATCCTTGCTTCAAATTACCCCAAAACTAATCATGCAGCATTTTCAGAGTCATATCTCATTCTTCTGTGTTTTCCTGATGCATTATCGATGCTAAAACACCCTGAGTGAAAAACTCTGTATTTTGCTCGTCACCTGCTCATACTTACACAGCTTGTCCTTCTGAAAACAGCAATTCAAGAAGGCTGTTTCCAGTCGGCCACATATTTCTCCCCTAGTGTTACTATGAATAGCAAATTTTCTTAAGCCGTTTTGTTCTTGATCTAGTTTTCCGACTTTCCAAATACAGGTGGGAAGCAATGCTAATGAAATTAAATATTTAAAAATAGATCCTACCACTGGCCCAGATTTCAAAGCCACATTTCCAGCAGGGGAAACATTTCATTTATTGGAGCCGGTTGGGTTCCATTATTAGCACAGCTGCTTGGCCGTGAAAGTGATGCCTGTGCCAGATGCAGTGTCCACATCATGATGATGACCAGAGAGTGACCATTAAACTATGTAATCTGAGGTCAGCTTTGTGCTTATTATAGTTTTCACAAGCACTCTTTCTGTTTGTTCGGTTTATGACAAATGCCCTACCTGCTGTATTATCTCTCCAGACCTTTCTTAGAAGTATTCTTTTTTTTAAATTTCCTTTTTGGGGTCACACCCAGAAATGCTCAGGGGTTACTTCTGGCTCTTGGCTCAGGAATTACTCCTGGTGGTACTCGGGGGACCATATGGGATGCCAGGGATTGAACCCAGGTCAGCTGCATGCAAGGCAAACACCGTACCTACTGTACTATTGTTCCAGTCCCTTACAAATACTCTTAAATATTTGTAGTTACTCATAATTTTTCAAGCATCAGGTAACAAATATTTAAGATTGTGTAATGTTTCTGTGCTATAGGCTGAGATAAAAGAAAAGAAATCAAGCATTAATCCTTGACCTCAGAGAAACTTGATGCTTATAGGGGAAACAGAAAGACAAGGCAGCTTGAAGATTCTGCCAACAATAGAAGCCTGAGTCTTACAGGACGTGGGCTTCCTGTGGGACTTGAAGTGGTAACTGGAACAAGAGAGGGCATGGCTTAAAAGATGGAAACTAGAACCATCTCTCAGAAGAGGAAGAGGGGTTCCGATTGCCAGCAGCCTGGGTCCAATCCCTGCCTCTAGCAAACTGAAATGCACAGCAAGCCCAACATTGATAAAATGAGGCTGTGAAGCCATGCCTTGAGAATAATGTAGGACTAGGAGTTATGACAGCATCTGCTGTAGGGCTTGAGGAAATGACTCAGTTGTAGAGTGGCTGCCTTACAGTCTGTGGCTGCAAGTTCGATGCATGGTACCGCCCTGCAACAGTGTGTGGGACCCCCAGGCCTCCACTGGGATTCCGGACAGTCAAGAAGTATGAATTGCACATACCAGCCTGCAAACAGTGTACAGCCCCCATATCATGGCCCCAACGAGGTCACCAAAGGGCAGCATCGAGGGAGAGGGAGGAGAGGGCTGCTTTTGTTTACTTTGATTCTGCTTTATTTTTTTTTTATATAAGCTCACTCAACCCAGAGAGTGACCGATTTATTCTTGAGCAACGCTTTTTTTTTTCTCCTAACCCCTGCCCTCAGCCTTGCCTCTGCCCAGCAGTTCCTGGGGAACCTGAGCTAAAGTAGGGTGAAACAGTATGTCACCATCCCAGAGATCAGACAGAAAGAGGAAACTCCAGCAAAGAGAAAACTCCTAAAAGCCTCTAAATCTGGCCAGAGCTTTGGACCAGGGAGCCTCATGGAGTAACACGCACAAAGGTGGCCCTTGAGCATCTTTACCTGGACGGCCTGGAGGACCGGGCCTCCCTGGAGGGCCTGGTAAGCCAGGGCAACCCGGGGCCCCAGGAGGCCCCACTGCATCCCTTCCGGGGGGTCCTTGCTCCCCTTTTCTTCCTTTCATGCCTGGAGAGCCGCTGATTCCTCTGACGCCAGGCAAGGATAACCCTGAGAGAAAAATCATCATTGGATGAGAGTTAGGTCTGACTTGTTTTTGACCCAACAAATTGTTTATGATTCAGTTGCAAAAGATCACCTACTTTTGCAAAAGCTACTGTTTTCAGAGGTCGATGCAGACCACAGAGAATCAGAGACTCTGAGTCCAGAAAGCTATGATCATCACACCAGGAACTTTGCATTTCTGCATCCAGCCCTGGGCAGGCTGAACAGCCAATGCCCAGCAGAGCCCTGGGAACCCACTCTGCAGAGATTTCAGCAGTTGGGGTCCCCATCTTGCCTATGGGCTTGCGACCAATTCTTTTCTTTTTTTTGCAACTGATTCTTTAGCAGATGCTTTTTTTTTTTTTTTGTATATTTAAAAGCATCAGAGACAAGTCTGTGTCTACCTGCAGAGCCCCTTGCTTGCTTCCTGCCTGGCTCTCTGGGTAATGACTACTGTAGTCGGGGAGGGAACCATCTACTGGGAGAGCAGCCCATGTGGCAAGACCTTCTTTCATTGTTCCTTCCCAAATGACTAGGATGTGGGGAGTGCGCTGTCTCTCTCATCTTCCTTGGAAAGCTGAACTATGAAGAAATTTACCTCTGGGGCTGGCAGTGATTCAAGGGGCTGGCACACACGACTGCATCAGGAGCCCCAAGCCTGACCCTGAGCACTCTGCCAGGAGTAGCCTAAACTCCCCCAAATAAAAATTAAACAATAAAATAAAAAGTAGGACTACTGCATGCCAAGGGCTGAATAACCAATATGGAAATAATCTGATTTTTTTTCTGATTTCATTTTAATAAAGGTAAATCCTGATTGACACCTGTCTTGAATGCTTTGAAGTTTTTGCTTATTGGTACCTTTTTTTTTTCCAAGGGAAAGGAGGGTTGGCAGTGCTCAGGGCTTACTCCTGACTCTGTGCTCAAGGATCTCTTCTGTCAGTGCCAGGGAACCATATGCAGTGCTGAGATCAAATTTGAGTGAGCCACATCAAGAGAAATGCCTTAACTAATGTAGTATCTCTCTGACCCCATTCTCTGGCTTCTTCAAGAGAGAAGTTATGGCTAGAGGGCATTCAGGGAAGGAGGAAGTCTTTCTTTTCTTTAGTTTGAACTCTCAAATATTCTTTTGCACCATTCTGACTTTATGAGAGACCAAGTGTTAATCATTTGGTGACTATTTTCCCATGCACAAAAAAGTACACTTATTTATCTATTTTTAAGGGGATTATAGTAGACACATAGTAACATAGAATCCTATCCTTAATTCATTTTAAGAATTATGTCACTGTCACTGTCCTCCCGTTGTTCATCGATTTGCTAGAGCGGGCCCAGTAATGTCTCCATTGTGACACTTGTTTTAAGAATTATGAAATAGTTTAAATCTCTAGTAGGTTTTGGAGGGAAATAAATCAATGAGTCTGCTATTCTTTTTGTTGCTTTCTTCACAAAATGACAAAGATCATTTTCATATCATTTTGTGATAGCTTTCACTTGACCAGCACAGGTCACAAATTTAACCATTAGAGAGCTGGAAACAGTTTTCTATTGATTAGCAGTCATTGTATAGAATTCTTTTTTGTTTTTCTTTTTGGATCACACCCGGAGATGCACAGGGGTCACTCCTGGTTCATGCACTCAGGAATTACTCCTGGCGTTGCTCGGGGGACCTTATGGGATGCTGGGAATTGATCCTGGGTTGGTGTCAAGCAAGGCTAATGCCCTACCCTCTGTGCTATTGCTCTAGCCCCTCATTGTACAGAATTAATCAAACTCACATAAAACGTCATTTCCCCCATTTTCCTAGCGTTTCTTTGGGTACCCCGAGACCAGATACATACCAGGACTTCCTGGAGCTCCGGGTGCACCGCTCGGACCTAGAAATCCACAAAAGCAATGAATTACTTACAAATATGTAATCCTTCCTCCGTTTTTGATGTCTTTCTTTACATTTTTAAAAAATTGAATCACAAAGAGACACACAGTTACAGGGTTCATTGTTGGGTTTCAGCCAAAGTCACCTCCTGTCACAGCTAGTGAGCCTTGGCTCAAATGGAAGAAAGCGTTCAGGGCCTCTGCTTTCATTTTGATTCCCACTGAAATCGCTGATTATTTCACCCTCCCTCCTAAAACACCAGGTCCCACTTGGTGTCTTCATGCCAGAGATGAAATTCATGCTTTTCATGCTGAAAGTGGACTCTAGACCAAACCTGATTGCCACTCAATGCCTCCTTTGCAAACCACAACACCCAAAAGGAGAGAGAGAACAAAAGGGAATGCCCTGCCACAGAGGCAGGGTGGGATGAGGGAGATGGGGGTGGGAGGGATACTGGGATCCATGGTGGTGGAAAATGGGCACTGGTGGAGGGATGGGTATTTGATCATTGTATAATCGAAACCCAAGCACAAAAATTTGTAAGTCTACAACTGCACCTCATGGTTGGTGTTTCACTAATAAAAATTAAAAAGGTAAAAAAAGGTAAAGGCCCTCCCGTTGATCATCAATTTGCTCAAGCGGGCCCAGTAACGTCTCCATTGGAGACTTTGTTGTTACTGTGTTTGGCATATTGAATATGTCACAGGGCGCTTGCCAGGCTCTGCCGTGCGGGCGAGATACTCTCGGTAGCTTGCCGGGCTCTCCGAGAGGGGCGGAGGAATCGAACTCGGGTCGGCCATGTTGGCTGCGTGCAAGGCAAACGCCCTACTGCTGTGCTATCGCTCCAGCCCATATCGCTGCACAGCAGAGCCTGGAAAGCTCCCCGTGATGTATAAAAATTAAAAAAAAAAAAGAAATAAAAGAAATTCATGCTTTTGTTCACAAAGCTAATTTCATTCCCTTTTATGATATACCTCTCGAGAGTATTTGATATGCCAAACACAGTAACAACAAAGTCTCCAATGGAGACGTTACTGGGCCTGCTCGAGCAAATCGACGATCAACGGGAGGGCCTTTACCTTTACCTTTACCTTTACCTTATGATATACCATCTAGGAAGTCTTCGTATGAAAATGTGAAATGACAGGAGATACCAAAAGCACACTTCCCGTAGATATGGGGGAGATTTCTTCTCTATTACTGAGATTCTAGGTATCTGGACATGTTCTATGATCCCTTGAAAGAGGAAGAGTTCAGCTTTTCAACGACCAAGAAAGCCAGCAACAAGATGACGGGAAGTTCAGGGAGATTTTAGGAAAAATTCATTCTCACCCTGTGGGCCACGAGCTCCTTTGGGCCCTGGTGGGCCTGGAATTCCTTTCTCTCCCTTTGCCTGGTATGCATCATAATATTCTGTCTTAAAAGAAAAAGAACAAAGAGAAAGGAAGGAGAGCTATTTATGGAGAGTTGGCCAAATGCAGTTTTGTCTGTTTCTCTCTTTGAACCCAAATATGGCTTTTAAAAAAATGTTCCTCAATCCATCAGTTTGTGAGTTGTTAGCAGGAAAACAGACAACCACAGATAAAGTTGGATATGTTTAAAGATTAAACCTTATTTTTATTACGATATCATGATAGCATAAATTTCCACTGGAAATACATTTTCATATGAATCCAGCTCACCTGCTCACCTTTTCATGAGCACAAACATTACGCTAATGAGCCCTGACTGAGATCAGGTTCCAAAATATCCACTCGCTATGCTGACATCTGGTCAACTCTGATTTTTTTATTCTATTTTCTTTCACTTAAAACGTTCATATTGGGCTGGAGCGATAGTACAGTGGGTAGGGCATTTGCTTTGCACGTGGCCGACATGGGTTCCATCTCTGGCATTCCATATGGTTCCCTGAGCACTGCCAGGAGTAATTCCTACATGCAGAGCCAGGAGTAACCTTTGAGCATCACCGGGCGTGGCCCCAAAAGCCAAAAAAAAAAAAGTTCATACGTGAAAAGAGATAGTTTTTGAAATTTTTCTACCAACTTACCAATTTACAGTTTTTGTGGAATTGTAGTAGTTTAGCTTTATTTAATTACATGTGTGTAGATGTCAACACCTGCGCAACAAATTAAAAAAATCTCTCTCCTAGATGGAGTATAAATAAACACAGTAAGGGAACAACAAATAGTCAAACTCATCAGAATTGGATATATTGTCCAGAGAACTGAGCTTATGTGAGAGGAGAGGTTGACTGGGAAAGGCCTTGGGGAAGGAAATAAGCATTGTGGTGACAGGAGTGGGGTTGGAATCATATATGCATAGAAGTATCAATAACAGTATTATAAATACGTTTACCTCACTACAATGGTAGACAAATGCTCATAATGATGCAGTAACTTTATTTCCTAGATGTTCAGTGGACCTACTCAGCTGGTTTCTTTAATCAGATACTTCCCAATTTACTCTGAACTTAGCAGCAGCTAAGTTACATAGAACTGGGCAGAAGAAAATACAAAGTAAGGTAAGAACAAGAATCTCTCTAAAGTGCACTTAGCAAATTGATTTCACTTGGAAGAAAGAAAATGGAAAGTGGAAATGTCAAATTCTGTTGTGCTTTCTCAAATACTGTACAGGGTCAATAATTTTCATCATAATTGATATGTAACAAACATCCATAGTCACCTATCTCATTTATGTGCTCTTATAGTCTATCTCTTTTCACCCTCCCTTAAGTAACTCCTTAAAAATACTTTGGATGCAATCTTTCTATGACTCCCTCTCTTTCTGACTCATTTCGCTTAACATGATACTTTCCATGTGGTACCACTTGTATGTAAATTTCATGGCTGTCTTTTCTAACAGCTACATAGTACTCCATTGTGTAAATGTACCATAGAAAGATTGCACTCATCTGGGGAACATAAAGTAACAAAATAGGAGACTAATACCCAAGAATGGCCGAGATTAGTACCAGGAATTTTGCTCCATGGCTTGGAGGCCAGCCACATATGCTAGGGGAAAAGAGATCTCAGATAGAGAAGGGAGCACCAAATAAAGGGTGTTGGGAGTATTCTCCCAGGATGGGAGAAGTATGCTGAAAGCAGACTATAGACCAAACATGATTGCCTCTTTTGCAAACCACAACACCTAAAAGGAGAAAGAGAACAAAAGGGAATGCCCTGCCACAGAGGCAGGGTGGGATGGGGGATATGGGAAGTGGGAGGGATACTGGGATCCGTGGTGATGGAAAATGGGCACTGGTGGAGGGATGGGTACTTGATCATTGTATAATTGAAGGCCAAGCACAAAGATTTGTAAGTCTACAACTGTACCTCATAGTGTCTCACTAATAAAAATAAAAAAAAATACTTTGGGAGTACTTGTATGTGAATCATTTATTTTGTCATATCAAGATACAGATTTCTACAAGCCAACCCAGATATGCAATGATAGATAAGTGAATAATAAAGTTACGGTATATGTGCACAATTGAACACTATGCAGCTGCAAGGAATGGGGAAACCATAAAAGTCCCTTCAATTTGTATGGTACTGGAGGATATCATGTTAAGTCATAAGGAGGAGGACAAATACCAGATATTTTCATTAATATGTGGTATATAGAGTAGCAAAATAAAGAGATGGAATTTTTCAAAGGTGGACTAACTTTAGGCTTTAGATGACAGAAATTAAAATACCAAGGAAGGAGAGAAATAGATGGTGGAATTAGAAAGAGAAGGTCTGGAGGTAACACAGAGATGATGGCGGGGCCTTGAACACATTGATGGTATAGAGGTGAGGCATTTGTTTACATCCAAACCACTTGAGTCATCACTTCTGAAAGAGTAATAATTAAGCGCAACCTGCAATAATTAAACCTAAAAATCTGTCTTTCAAAGAGTAGGCTGGGGAGTGAGAGGGAATCTTGAAACATCGATGGAGGAATGTGGACATTGGTAGTGGAATCAGAGTTGGAATATTATATGCCTGGGACTCAATTATTAAGAGCTTTTAAAATCACACTGTCTAAACTAAAACTGGTCCTCACTGCCAGTTTCTGAGTTGCTCACTTAGCAGAGAAGACTGAGAACTGCATTGACAATAGGACACTTTTCCCAAGGGCTCTGCCAGCATCAACCCTCTGTCTACCCAGCTTAGTGATGAATGGCAGCCTTGTGGGGTTGTTGGGGGCGGGGCACTCCACTGAGGAGAGAAAACTATCTTTTGAAGCAGGTTGGGGAAGGGACACTAGAACTCACTGGGTCCCTTTCACTCATTTCCCTACACTCCAGAGACACTATGGGGAATGTGGTCATTTGCAGTCAGGAGTGCCAAACATCAGATGTAGGCTGTGCTGGGGAGTAGAACCCTGGACTCTGCTATAGAACTTATGCTATGGTGGTTGGTCTTTGCTTACCAAGCAAAAGAGACTGAGACTGAGCTCTGGCGCCTGAAGGAGTTATCCAAACTGGGCACAGCTTGATAGGGCAGAGCCGCCCCCCTCATCCCTGGCTCCCAAGCTGTCCCCCACTGCTAATCTTCCTACCCGACTCAAGACATGAGTGCTTATCGATGCAGGCCTCATTAGTTACACAGTTTTCCTTCTGCATAGACCGAGATGGGAGCCACGAGAGCTTTGTTGAGACCAAATACAATTAAATAGCAGCAGCTGTCGATGGTCAGTGGGCAAATAATGACAATAGATATTTTTCTGTTCTGGTGTGGAAAAACATTAAACATTATCATCTTCATCACAGGAGTTAACAGAGAAATTTGTTCAAAATCTCCTTGGTACTCTGAAAGAGTTGACCTGAAAGAGTTGATCAGACATGATATTGGTTTTATCCCTAGTTATACTTACTGGACCAGGGAATCCTGGAGGGCCCATGTCCCCCTTCCAGCCCTATATTAAAAACAACAGTTACAAAAATGTCAATCAAAAGCATTTTCATATTTAAAAAAGAAGGCCTAGTTAAGCAATATGAGTCTAGGCTTAGAGTAAAATTCCCTTGATGTAACATGTAACTCCATTTAAAATGAGAAAGATATTGACTCTAGATTATTTTCCTGGAGGAGCTATCTGGAGTAGGAATCGTATCTATAAGGTCCTGAAGAAATGGTGATTTTCCTGTGGTTTTCTGGGTTTCCTCCAGATCGCTGTTTTCAAAGACCTTTCCCATGCATTGCACATACCAAAGGTTTGTTTCACCCCAACAAGAGGCACAGGAAAAGCAAGGTGTGCATTATATACAATTCCCAGAGCCACTGTTGTAACCCATCCTTCCCTACACTTCTCAAGAGGGCATTTCAAGAGTCTACTGGAAAGTGATGTTCTTGCACAATAAATTTGAATACATAATTTGCCTACATCTGAAAACCTTTGTAATGTACTCTCAGAAACAAACGATATGGAAGACAATTTCTATTGATCACACCTTTGAGATCATGTTCCTGGCATAAGGCATTTCTTACAGTTAAGTTCAGGGCACAAGGCATGGGAGGGATGAAAGGTGAAATGAGGGAAAATCCTCCGCACTAAACAACTAACCAAAGACTGAAAACAGATGTTAAGGGTATGGGACGGGTGGGTGGGGTTGGTTACCTTGATGCCGTCTTTACCCACTAATCCTGGAGAGCCCCTATTGCCCTTGGCTCCCTAAAAAAAAAAAGCAAAGAGAATGAGGCAGAAGACATATGAACCAATTTATTTTTCCTAGGAGGCAGAATATGCTGACTCCTTTAAAAAATATAGCAGTGTGCTGATGACCTTTCTTCACAGCGAGGAACTACTATTGTGATTCTTAAGTATGGTTTTAGAAATCTATAAGCTATTTTTTTCTTTTTTTATTTTTGGTCACACCCAGCAATACTCAGGGGTTACTCCTGGCTCTGCACTCAGGAATTACTCCTGGTAGTGCATGGGGGAACATATGGAATGTTGGAAATTGAACCCGGGTCAGCCGCATGCAAGGCAAACGCCCTACCCGCTGTGCTATTGCTCCCGCCCCCTCTATTTTGATTATTTTCAATTATTTAGTAACTCTCAAGCATCCTTCCACATCTAATAGGACTGGTTGTTTATCACTCTAACAGAGCAAATTGTGTCTTTACCTTGGTGCCAGGGAAACCAGGGGAACCATCTTTTCCAGGTTTTCCCTAAAACAAAAGTAAATATAAACATGAATTTAATACATACGGGTAAAGGATATGACTACTGCCTCTTGACTTCAAGCAAGAAAGCCTTATTTATTTA